TTTTAGCCTTTTGCATTTGATCAGGCAAGGACTAACAGTCTTCCAGCCACTACATATGACATAACGAGGATTTTAAGATGAAGCATCTCGTTATCTCTTTACATGTTATGCTTTGCAGGAGCGGCACAGTCTGCACTCTTTTGCTCTTACCAAAGACAAACTTAAACACTTAAAAGAGAGACACAGGAAGAAGCTAAATACACAAGCTTCCAAATTAAATTATTTATCCTTTTTCACCTCTTGTTCTCTTGCATAATCTTCTTGGTCATATTCTTCATCTTCATGTTGAGTTTGTAGAGTTCCGCTATCAAAGTCAAGGGACATTGTTTTCTAATAATGCTTTTGTGCGTCCAACAAAACTTACTGCAAGACAGGAAAACACCACACAGGAGTCAAATGTGAGAGGTATCAAAAAGCACCACCCTCACTTCCTGAAACAGGTATCCAAACACACACAAAAATACCATTTTTGAAACAGAGATTGCACATAACCTATACCATTCACTTGAGATTTAGTTTCTCAGTATATCCAAGTCTCCTCATTTCTAAGAATTTAGCATTTAAAACAATTATTTGGGCTTTTCACATGCTAACATTATTGAATTATTAACTACAATGAAACATTAATTGCTTCAAGTCCTAACACTGTACCATACACATATGCTGTGACACATCTTGACAGTTATGACCACTTTTACATTTTGCTTCATCTTCTTCTAGAGAATAACTATATTTTGTATGAAATACTGAGAGTATGCTGTTTCTTATGCACTTGGATAATAGCTCTGAGAGGAAAAATAGGAAAATCAGCATGGAAATCTGAGAAGCATCATGTCAGTTCCAGATTTCACTGCTTAATGAAGACACTCTAACTCCCAAGGGCTCACCTACATCAAACTCACAGCAAGCTGCAGTGTGCAAGTGCTGGCCCACACTTGGCTGCAAGATAAACTACTCCCGGATTAAGAGATGCTCCTTTGGGCACAAAGGTGCAGCGCATACTGAAGTCTTCAGCTGGTGTCAAGTGAGCTTTATCAATCTTTACTTCCAAGTTAGAAGACACAACGTGTCACCTCACCACGTGTAAAGGACCTGCTTGCCCACTGCTGCTCAAGGAAACTCTCCGACAGAGCTGGCAGGGGCCCCGCGGCGCAGCTGTGCACGCCTCGAGCACCCCCCGCACC